GGCCTCAGCATGGCTGGAGAAGTGGTGCGTCGGTGCACGCCCAGGATCTGAACCCAGGCTGCCAGCAGCAGAGCTGGCGCACTTAACCACTAAGCCACGGGGCCAGCCCCAGACCTCTTTTAAAAACTATTTTTACTTACATGCATGTGCACACACAGCCAAATACATAAATACTTGTAGAAAAAATTAGTGCTGCTTTGTAAATTTTTTTGTATAAATATATATACTAATGTGTGTACTGGATTGCTATAAGGATTAAATGAGTTAAGAAATGTACAATGGTTGGGACAGTTACTAACATATAGTAACTAGCTGATGTTATCCAATATTAGCATCAATATCTTCATATTATTATTTGTGGAAAGGACTTTAACCATGTTGTACACCTCAGTTGACATCAAAGAATTGATAATGAAATAGACCAGTGGGTATGTTTGCAGAAAAGCTTCTCACCAACACTTATTCCTTATTCAGCATGGAGTTTATAAATAAACCCTAAGAAATAAAAGTCAAGAAAGAAAAAGAATGGGTGAATAAGCCTACATTCACACTTCATATTTCATGCTGCACAATAATTTCATACCCATCAAAACCTATTTAGGGGGCTGGCCTGGTGGCATAGTCGTTAAGTTAAAGCTGTCCACTTTGGCAGCCCAGAGTTTGAAGGTTCAGATCCCAGACGTGGACCTATGCACTGCTTATTAAGCCATGCTGTGGAAGGCGCCCTACATATAAGATAGAGGAAGACAGGCGCAGATGTTAGGTCAGGGCCAACCTTCCTCAGCAAAAAAGAGGACTGGCAACAGATGTTACTCAGGGCTACTCTTCCTCATACACATACACAAAAAACCTATTTATATATTGAGAATAGTTGAAAACACATTTGTCAAAACAGAGAAAGGTATGAAATATTAACTCAATAATCACCCCCAGAAGAAAAACAATGTAGGTCACATTTTTTCCAGAATGGGAAAAAATTAAAATATGATAGCCAACAAATATCTGAATATTGATGATATACCTCCAAATAACATGAGTTAAGAAGGAAATCCTGAGTTATGTTTAAATGAATCAGCATGAGCATATTAAATAGAAAAACCTGAGGGCTGGCAGGGAGCCAAATCTGTATTCAGATAAAAAGGTATAGCCCAGGGTCCAGCCTGGTGGTGTAGTGGTTAAGTTCATGCACTCTGCTTCAGCGGCCCAGGGTTCACGGGTTCAGATCCTGGGCGCAGACCAACACACTGCTCATCAAGCCATGCTGTGGCAGCGTCCCATATACAAAGGGGAGGAAGATGGGCACAGATGTTAACTCAGGGGTAGTCTTCCTCAGCAAAAAGAGGAGGATTGGCGACAGATGTTAGCTCAGGACAGATCTTCCTCACACACACACACAAAAAGTATAGCCCAATAGGCATGCTGATATTTACATACTGAGAGACTATTAATAAATGAACAAAATGTACAAGACAAAAAGCTGGAAGAATAACAGCAGACTAAATCCAAAATCAGAAGAAAAACTATCAGTAAAAATAAAGACAAAAATAGTTCAAGGAAAAAATAAAATTATTTCTTTAACAGAAAAAATACATGATACAAACATTGGTAACTCTTTTTTTTCCTTTTTTTTTTTTTTTTCTGTGAGGAAGACCAGCCCTGAGCTAATATCCATGCCAATCCTCTTTTTGCTGAGGAAGACTGGCCCTGGGCTAACATCCATGTCCATCTTCCTCTACTTTATATGGGATGCTGCCACAGCATGGCCTGACAAACGGTTGCATCAGTGTGTGCCCAGGATCCAAACCCAGGCCGCTAGCAGTGGAGTGTGACCACTTAACTGCTACGCCATGGGGCCGGCCCCCAAACATTGGTAATTCTGATTGGGAAAAAGAGAAGACAGATGAAGACATGAATGATATATGAACATGATTACGTTTAAAGAGATTAACATTCTCACTAATATCTAGACAGGAAATCTAGATAAAGTATGTGATATTTGTAGGAAAATGTAATTTGTCAGAGCTGAGAAGAGCTGTAAACCCTTAATAGACCAAAACAATAAATGCAGAAAAAATGTTTTCATGTAGGCAGATAGCTCCACTTAAAGAGATCACCAAGCCAGATCATTTTATGGGCAAAATCTGTCAAATATTCCAAACCAAATGAGATAACAAGCTTGCCATCTGTTTCTATGAGTTTTTCATAATGCTGATGTCAAAATAACTAGTTCACAAAAATATAATAATTTAGTGTCACATGGTACTGAGTGTGTGCAAATGAAATTTTATTCTAGCAATTTATTAAAAGAATATTATAGATATTCATCACAATCTGAACCAGTTACCTAAACCCAGAAATCAAATAACTTTTTTTGTGTGTGTGAGGAAGATTAGCCCTGAGCTAACATCCGTTGCCAATCCTTTTTTTTTTAAATTGATGTTTTAATAGTTTATAACATTGTGAAATTTTGGGTTGTACATTTTTGTTTGTCCATCACCATATATATGTCCCCCTTCACCCCTTGTGCCCACCTCCTACCCCCATTGCCCCTGGTAACCACAATACAGTTTTCTCTGTCCATGTGTTGGTT